AATAAACTGTTTTGAAATAAAGTAATGCAATGTCTATTTCTGTGGTCAATCTTAAATTATCCATATGGATCTTTTCCCTCAACATTTCTTGCCTTAAAACCTGGGGAATATGAGTTACCTGACAATGCTTAATATGCCCTTCCTGGATTATTTAAATACTCTAAGATGATCATATTTTCCCAAAGATCCTGTCACTCAGCATCATTCACTAGTGGAGAAGCTGCTAATTACTTTCTTTCTTTCTTTCTTTCTTTCTTTCTTTTTGTCTTCTTCAAGATTCTATAGCAGGCCATATCAACCCTCTTCTGCAAGCATTTATCAATTCTCTGCTGTTAGCATCTGGTGAGTTGTAGGGTGTACTAAGAAATTTATGTGTATGGCTTTATCCTGTCTTTTAGGGCTGAACTGAGAAATATCCTTTGTTAGCTTTAGCAAAGTCTTGTCTGTCGGCTGACATAGTTTATGCGTGGGAAAAGGGATCGGAGTTTCTACCACAACAGATTCTTTTTGCAGAAGGTTAGGTCACATTTTTACATAGCTTTTATATTACACACTAAATGTGGAAATTGTGTTGAAAGAAAAGTAAGGTAAGGAAAGGAATGTAAAATAATACCGTGTTTTGTTTTGTTTTGTCAGCAACATTTAGTAATTGTAGTTTCTAATAGACTTTTATAAATAGTTATTTGAAGAATGTTAATTTAGTACCAAAGACCATGTTTTCTTTGAATGTAGTTGCTTTGAATGTGAAGATCTAAAAGTTATTCATTATCAGTATTTTGGAGTCACAGGTTTTATGCATATTTGTTTTTATAGACAATAAATCCATATTAACAAAAACATGCACTGAATGAGATTGCATTTTCATTTTCTTAATGTTAAATAGCAGATAAAACTTTTATGTTTAAAAGAAACTGATTCCTTTCCTTGGGCTCAGGAGGGCACAGTGGGAACTGTGTTAGAGGATTAAAAATATTTCCTATAATCATTTCTTAAGTTTGTCCCTCTCACTACTGAAGTATACAGATTTTTCATAATATTCTTCATATAAAGGAAACCTAAGGAGAAAACTTACAAATTTTCCTAAGGTCAATGACATCATAGAGCAAAGACATTTCTGGCTTATAAATCTGTGCTGACAAATCACCCTATTTAACGATTAATTAAAGGGTGGTTGCATAAAAGATGTATGTGGCAATTTGACCTTGAAATATACGCTTTGGTCTCAGAAGAAATATGTAACAAAACATGAAAATTATTCAATATTTAAATTGGATGGAAAACTTCCTGGCTTTCTGGTAAGGTAGGAATAAGTACATATACTTCTGGGACAGGAAGTATAAAACATGTATCTATTTCTATTGATGCAAACGGCTTTCTCAGCCCCCACACCTCCTCTCCACTCTACAATGTACTATGAATTACAACCCATGCACTGAAAAATAATATTACTACTTTAGCCACAGTAAGTGCATAGAAAACAGAGTCACAGAACCAGAAGAAAATGTGAGAGACATTCTTATCTAGACCCACAACTGCAGGAACAAGCTTAAGTAAGCTCTTTTAGATAAAATAGCTTTATATTCTCTTCTTGAAGATGTCCACAACCAGAAATGCACAACCCTCCCTAGAAGCACTTGATTCCTGGAGACTCCTTCTGAAGTCACTTTCCCATCCTCCAATAGCTCCATCACGTGTTGTATTTTGTCTCTGAAACTGGTTATGATATGAAATCGTGTTATTTGTTGTTTATTCTTTTGTGGAGGGTCTCCTTCAATAGATACATGGTCTATTCTGTCTTGCTTATTTCTCTAACAGTTGATCCTTAACAGTTACTTATTAAAAACATGTTATACTGATAGAAAGAAGTTAAGAAGTTAGGGTATTAGGAAATAAGAAAGAAAGATCAAAATATTATTTTGACCTTATGCCCAGTTGAAATACCTTCTGCTTTCAATTAAGCTCATCTCCTGTTGTTCAGTCTTTGACAGATAAGGGTGGCAACGATACCACATTCTCCAACCAAATTCCCTCCATGTACTTGCGTAAAACTATTTAGGACAGTTAGCGGGCAATCAATCTTACTTTACCCTTAATTTCTCCCAGAAGAAACAAAGGAAAATATATATAAACAAACAAGATAAAACAAAGCTTTCATTGATGATGACAGAAAACTATGAATTATTAGTTTCAAAGAGTATAAAATCTTACTGCTTAAAAGAAACTATTTTAAATAGCGGCGAGTTCAATACAAATTCAAAAAAAAAGAAAGGAAAACCATTAGATGAAGAAAACGGTTCTAAGGGGAAATATGACAGAATGAGTATTGGTGGTGGGGAGTAGCTAAGTAGGAGATGAGTTCCAGGCAATACTCAAGTTACCTGGATTGTCACTGACATTCATCCTTACGTTCTCCAGTTCTTAGCTCTCTAAATTCCACATTTTAGCTTTGCAGAGAGAACACATTTGCAAGGCCTGGATTCTTTCAAAAGGATATTTGATAGGGTAATGGCGTTTATTACAAAAACACATTGACTTAGACTATTCCAGTCCAAGCAATAAGTGGAAATTTTCTCTCCCCAACATATGTGTTTATTGGTGAGTAAGAAGCAGGTCCAAGAATGATTATGGATGAAAGAACATGACAAAGTTCAATCATTTGAAGCAGAAATAAAATCATAAATCTGAGCAATGAAGGTTTCTCATCAATAACCAAGAGTTGCATTCTCCTTTTTGCTTTTTTGCTCTATATTTTCATTATTATGACAGAAATAGGAACATATTGGAATGCTCTTCTAAGGCAACATTTGAAAGATTTTACTTCATGCATTGCATTTATTGGGTAAGAAAAACTATCTGTAGAAATAGATGTGGATAAATTGAAGCATATTTCAATATTAAAACGAGCAGGAAACTAGATACTCAAAGTCCTTTTGTCTCTGTGTAAACTTGCTGACAATTCCATTTATGGGATCAGGGAGGCAATGAGAAGAAAACTTTTCTTTCAGGAAAAAATGTTTAAAACCTAACCTTTGGGTATGATTTTTGGAAAACATTCTAAATTTGTAACAACTGTGTTGGGGGGAGAGGATCATAAAATTTCATATAGAGGACTTTTACCTATTTGATGAGGTTAAATGTGATGTCAAAATACCATTTTAAAGTATAGGGATAAGTATATGATAGAGGATGAATCACAACAGATTGGCTTTGATAATACCAGAGCTGGTCTCATGTTGAAAAGATACTGATATAAGCATGGTGGTCAATGGGATGTGATTTGGTGGTGGTAGTAATAGAGGACATGTGGATGGGATGCAGGTGGAAAGATTTCTTCAAAATCACCTCTCCATATTCTTCCATGCTCTGTTAACTGATGAGAAAATATCAACCTAATGATACATTTCATTGGCTACAAAATCTGAAAGTGATTTCAAGGGTTACAAGTTGCTTATTCATTCATTAATGCACTGTATTTTTTTAATGCACTGTATTTTTAATTGAGTTCCTATGTGTTGCATCTATTGTGCTAGATGTTAAATACAAAATGGTGAGCATTAATTTGCTTTTATTTTCCTTATGTACAAAATGGAGATTAGAGTTTCTCTCCCTGCTCATCTCACAGAGCTGGTTTCCAGCTCAAGCGAGATAGTACAATCTACGCAATAACATATAAAAACACATAATAATAATAATGGTAGTAATATCACATTTTAGGAAGAAAATACTCAATTTTGAGAGTTTTTTTTTTCCTTACTGCCATTAAAATATGCTCTGTTGTAGATTAATACAGAAGGAGAATCAAAACAGCTGATGGTGGAAGTGACTGCTATTCCATTAAGAGAGGGAAAGAGTTCTGAAACTGTGAGAGCAGAAACACTGGAAAGAAAGTTTCCTTTACAATTTTGTTTGGTGCCAACTCCTTCCTTGCCAGAGCTTATAACATACTTGAGCTACACTGCTTGCCATTGGGTTTTAGCTTAGTGTTTCTCAAACCCCAATTAGTCATGTATCAACTTCACAGATTTTCTCTATTATCCACTTATAACTTTTATTAATATTTAATTAATATTTTTCTTCAAATCAATAATGAGTTATACACCAAATATTGTGAATAGTTTAAAAACACAAAGATTAAATAACTCCTTTAAGGAAGAAACCAGTACTGCTTACTATAATAAAAGGTAGATATACAACCCAATAAGATTAAAACAAAATCACTTTATTTAATTCTGGATAGGTTCCATTGTCTAACCAAGGCCCTGAGCCTGAGGCCAAATGATTTGCTCCTTCTTTGCTATGAAGGTTATTGAGTGGTTATTGAGTAAGTGCTAAAGAATATTACAGATATACTAGCACCAAACTGAGAATTTCTCTTTGACACAATCAGAAGGCTGGAAAGATAATAAAAAGTTCAAAAAGGATTAACTTTCTTACTCAGTGATAAAATATTATTTAATGATATTTCTTATAGTACCTCAAATGTCTTGCGGAAGTCAATACCATATAACGCAAAGCCCTAGTGTAGCTGGTCTGAATTTTATGACTTTAGATCTAACTATATACCTCTTTGTTCTTCTTATTTCATTTCAACAGAGTGGCCAATGAATTCTACTACACAGTTGCAAAACACTTTGTAAGGAGGATTACCCATCCCCCCAACCCCACATGCTGAATTTCCAAATTGTTGTTCATTCCACTATGGGTATCATTATGATTCTTTAGAAGGCAGAATAACTGGCACTTTAAGAAGCTAAAGAATGTATTCAGAACCAAGCCTGGCATGGCCCTTCTGTAGACACTGGGGGAGAAGGCAAACTTATAAATATGCTAGCAATGTCTTGCACAAGAGCACATGGTAGATTAGTGGGCAGAACAAAAGGATCTCTAGGGTCTTGCTCTTAAGTTTCCTGACCAGAAGATCACAGTCCTTTCTCAAAGATAAGAAACTTCAAGCCTAAACCAATGAAACATAACTTAGAGAACGGCCCCATAGGACTTACCTCCTGTTAGCATGAGGGCACATTTGCACATACAGTTGTCATTATCTGCATCTTTAGTGCTGAAATCAGCACCGTGTAAGATCAGGCTGCTCTGTTTTCCTGCGGTCCCAGTGTGACCCTTTAAATACAACCTGAAGTTTACAAAAATAAAAAATAAAAAGGAAAAGATAAGCCATTCAACAGAATAACAGAACCCAGAAGACCAGTTTGTTGAATTTCTGCTTTTTTCATAATTTTCTCCCTTCTTTGTACTCAACCCTTCTAACTACTATAAGACCTGAGAAAGAAAGAGAGAGAGAGAGAGAGGAAGGAAGGAAGGAAGGAAGGAGGAAAGAAAGAAGGAAAGAAAGAGAAGGCAAGAAAGGACTCTAAATCCTAGTAAAATTCTCTATGGCTCGTGTGCTTGGTGTTTGTTTCATAATGCATATACAAACTCATATGGTTCTCTGATAGTGCATGATCCACAAAAGGAAAATGGGTTTATTTTATTACCACAGGTATTAATCTCCAAAGAGAAAATACAATACATTGTAGGGTGTCATTACAGCATATAATTATGTTAATATTGAATAGTGATGATGTCATAAACATTACTCTTAATAGCAATAGTAATAATAATTCTCATTGATTGAGGACTTGCTCTGCGCCAAACACTCTGCTAAGTTCTTTCTAGTTATTATTTAATTTAATTTTATATTAAATTTGTCATCTAGGCATCAATATACCAATTTAGTATGCTAAAATTTGGAGGAGATAAATAAGCTGGAATTTGGCTGTTTGACTTTAAAATCCAAGTTCTTAATCAGTATACATTCTCTGAACAAATGTTTGTTGAGCATATATTATACAACAGAAATTGTTCTAAGTACTTAAGATATATCAAAGAGCCATGCCCATAAGGGGCTTACATTCTAGTTTATCCCTAAAATTACATTCAAAATGCCAACTGTTTAATCTCAACTATGGCATTCTTCAAAGAACTTACCTTACTCTCTAGAAACATTTCTTATATAAAATTTACATTAACCTAGATCACAGGCTCTCCAACAGTTGCACATAGAGAAAATAATCTGGTTATTTGTGGAAAAGGCCTTTGCACTAGGCCTAGGAATTTATATGCTCAATTAGTATCTCATACTACTCTTTGCATATTGAAGAATTCTGGTCTAGAATTTAAAAACTAGTGGACAGATCATGATCAATGCCTACAGTAGTTCCCTGATGTCTGGTCACTTATTGATCCTATACTCGGCTTCCACATCCATCTGGATACTTCGAACAAATGCAAACTTGCTCAGGTCCTTCAGTGGCTCCTCAGGGGTCAGGATAACTAAACTAAGGTTGTCAGAAGTGTCACTTCGATATTCAAAGCCTTCTCTGGTTGAGACTCTACCCTTCTTTTTAATTCCACCTAACATGCTTCATCTGTTCTCATTCATCAAAATCATCCAGCAATATTCCTTTCATATCCATGTATATTACCACTTCTGTGCCCAAGTCTTATTTATGAATCTTATCCATCCACAAAATAGTTAATATCTTTGTATGAGGGAGACACTACCAGGACCTGGGCCAGCTCTGAACAAATTTTACATTATTATTAAACATAAATAATACAGGTCAATTAATATTTGGATTTTATTTTTTCACATATATATTTGATTTGTGTTTGCACCTAAGTATATGTAAAGCTCTCCCTATTATTTTGTGAAGTTGGTATTAGTTTAAGCAAATAACAGTACTATTGTATACTCTGCCAAAACATTTTACAGATAATCTGCAGAGATTTTTGAGTCAGAGCAAAATATACAATTAAGTCCTACTCAGGTTTTGTTGTTTTTCAATGACTAATAGAACCTGTGGTTAACAGTAAGTTGAAGGAAACCTCTAAAGCTAAATTATCATATATAAGCTTGTATTTTAAGACTCTGAGAGGCAGGCTAAAAGTCACTGGTGATAGAAAATTGTAGAATTTTTGTGTGGATTTACATTTCAGGTTACAGGCAGCCCACATGTGGGTGGGTTTCATCAGGGAAAAGAAAGATGGGAGGTCACCAATGGGAACCTGGGACAAGTTACCTGGGTGAATTTACAACCTTCCAGGTTTGACCACTTTCTCAGCCTTTCAGAGATAGACACACACTTGCAAAGCTAAGGAGGCTTTTTGTCAGTTCTCTATTTACAGTCAAAACTGAGACACTGTGGGGGCCAAGATCAGGTCTTCTTAGAGAGAGTTTCACACAGAAAGCCAAATTGTAATTGAAAAGTTGCTTGTTTGGTGAACACAGATTCAGGTGGGGGAAGAAGATGAACAATTCCAAAATTAAATAGCTGTGAGTCTGCAGGCTTGAAATCTCCACTCCTATGGGACTGGCTGAGTTTAGCCCACAGGGGCTCTTGGATGAGTGATGCTTATTCCAACTCTGATTCTTGGCTTCTCTATGATTTGTGATGACTTTCCTTATTTTTTTTTTTCAATAGGTAAGTCAAACCATTATCTCTATAGCAGCTTTAAGCTCACTGATGAGGAGAGAGATTCCAGAACACATTGTTTTCTACAGCTTCATTTTCAGCACAAATGTTCAGTTGATATTAAGTGAGTGACTACTATGTGGTGGATATATTTCATACTTTTATCCTTTCACAAGAGGGTTATCGCTTAAGCCTTATAGTTTACAATGGTTTCTTTGTGTTACCATGGCAATTGGAATATCTAAATACAACTTTAGAAAGTAGAGAAAAGCATAAGGAAGAAAATAAAAAGCAACCCAAATCTCATCTCTGAATACAACTACTTTTGACATTATGGTGTATATGCACTTAGTCTTGTCCTTGTTTTTTCCCCACTCCAAATTGAAAATATTATCTAATATTAGTTATTTTTAAGTATGTATATATATATATATATATATATATATGTAATATATATATATATATATTTAAGTATAATGTCTGATCATATTTCTATAAAATTTTTGAACAATGCACAGGAAGTTGCCCACAGGTCTGTCTCCTCTATCTCTTTAGAAGTAATAACTTACATGAGTTTCTCATCTTTCAAAACAATTTGTCTTCATGTATAAATACAAATGAAAATGAGATCATACTCAACAGATTTCTTTATACCACGCTTTCCATATGTAATTGTATGACCATTTCTCCATGCCACTTCTTATTCTTCTCCAACATCATTTGGAAGCTACTGTATGACTATATCATCAATTGTTACAAGTTTAAGGGTGCTTTCATATATCTCTAGGTATGTATGCAAGCATGTAGAAAGAGGTGTAGAATAAACATCAACAACATCTTTTCCTGACCTTTACCTCTATGATCTTCATTATTGCTCTATGTTATAGTTTGTAAGTAAGAAGAGACATTTTTCCAGATCCTTTTAATCAACATTAGAAGCTCAGTCTTCTGGTTCTGGCAGCTCTTCTCTGAGTTATTACAGAAGCCTGACAACTGGTCTCACTGCCTTAAGTCTTGCTCCTTCCCTTTGGACCTAAAATCCATGCTCCAAAGTGGCTCATTCAAAAACCTGTATCTCATTGTTCCTCTACTACGGTTAAAACCCCTCAGTTGTTCTCCCAACACATGAGAGATAAAGTCCAGATTCCTTACTGTAATTTACAAGGACTTTGAAGATCTTGCCCTCCTCTACTTTTTCCCACATCACCCAACCACCCGCAATTCTCATTGCTTATTTCCTGTCTATGTATGTAATAGTCCAGGCTTATCAATTACTTGTTCCCTTAAAACAACACTCTCTCACTTCTCTGTATATCTGCATGTGCTGTCCCCATTCCTGGAAGGTCCATTGTGCAATATATACATATATTAAGCCATTGTGTTGTACACCTGAAGCTAACATAATGTTATATGTTAATTATATCTCAATGAAAAAGAAACAAAAGTAGAAAAGACCAATATTTAGAGGACTTTCACTGTACAAGACTGAGTAGAACTTGTAATTTATATACAGAGTATTCATTTCCCCTGAGTCTATATCCTTAGCATGTCATAGGGGAGCTGCTCATGCTCTTCTAGGGAAGAGGTACCCATGGATAGGCATTTTCTATGAAATTGAGATAGGGGGAATAGAGATGGTGTTTCATAAAAAATAATTTTTCTCACACTATTTTAAGAAATTTACAAATGAGGACAACTATGCTTCTGTGGAATCCCACAAAGATTTTGGGAGCAACTATGTAGTCGAAGATAGGTCATCTGAATAGTCAAAGGGCTCATTCTTTCTTAGGAATTATTTAGCTAGTGCAGAGTAGCAATTATTGACCAAAAGCCAACAATTCTAGCAGGTTACTTGATAAAGGCAAACTAAGAGCTGGCCATTCACGAATGCCAAGTATTTTTTCTAATTAGATAAGAAAATTTATTTGAATTGAGGCTCAAGTGGAATATTTAGGTGTTTCTTTTAAATAGTGATTCTAATTTCTAATGTCTTTACTTTAATTATCTATGACTTCCTCTATTCTGTTAATGAAACTTCACTTTAAAAAAGAAAAGTTGATATACAGAAGGGCAAAAGTTGGCCTTGCATCTGAATATGGAGAAAGGAAACTTGAAGTGTGAGTCATCAGAGAAAATACTGCCCCAAAATAACACCATGGGAATCCTGGATATCTCTTTCTTATGTTCATCTCATATAGATGCAGCTTGCGTGAAGGATGATGTGTTGGGAGATAAAAACCAAACGTTATTCCAGAGTAAAGTATTTGGCTTACGGACAGAAATATGGAAGATTTAAAAAAAACCCAACCAAACAAACAAAACCTCCAAATAAGACAAAAACTCCAAAGAAGATGTGATCAAAAAGGCAGCCACAAAGTAAAATCATGGTATTCATCCTTTTAAACCCATTTTTCCTAATTAATGAGGACAAAAATCCCACATCTTCTTGCACAATTTGGTCATTGTCTATAAAGAATGTCAGCCATTATGATCTTTTCAGTTAGCATCTTTAGGAAAAATGAAACAGATAAGTGCATGTTGAAATTGGTCAAGATTCCCTAATCATCCTCAAAGAAAATATATTCTTTTTTTCAATTACAAAAATTTATATAACCAGAAAGGCCAAATCATATTTCTTAATAAATGTAGGACAATTGTG